GCTTCGTCCGGGAGGGGGAAGATTTTCCATTTTGCGGCTTCCCAGAACCATGGCTGAACGCGGAGAGGAAGCGCGTGCTTGGTTTCGAAATCTTCTTCGACTTGCAACTACCCGGGGATGACGTTGCCGAAGTGCAGACAGACCCACCAGCTGAGGTTGAACAGAGCATGGCAGTGCAGTCTGAGGATGTTGAACACGAGATGGGGGTAGCGCTGGCGAGTCTACTCTCAGATCCTTCGATCAACTAAATGTGCTTAGGGGATAACTCCTCGGTTTCCATGATTGGGGATGAAATGGCTGCGGGCCTTCCAGCGACTATCTTGGATACATCTACCGCACCCTCTCTCACTTGGCAATACGAAGAGGGATTCTTGTCCAGCAGCATCGGGTCAGGTAGTGAGCCGAAATCTGATTCCACCGAGGCCTGTGAGTCGGAATCAGGTTCCAGCTCGACTGAGTCTGAGTCTGGTAATCCTGGGGCTGATAACCCGGATACCACAGTTATGTCCAGGTCGTCTTTCTCTTTTTCATTTGAGTCTAATGTAACCGGGATTTCGGACGATTTGGATGAGCTTAATGAGAATCAAGTGACTGTGGTTTCTGAGTACTTCTCTGTGCCCTTAATTTATTGCATAAATTCAGACTCTCAAAATTTTGATAAAAACGACGAGGACGAAATTCCTCCAGTTTTGCAACGTTTGATTGAGCAGGAGCAAGAGAGATTTGTCAAACCCTTAACTGATGAAATCATTACCGTGAACATTGGTACTGAGGAGGACCCGCGGCTGATCCAGATCGGGTCCACGCTGTCTTCGGAGGAACGCGAGCGCTTAGTCGCTTTACAAAAAGATTTCAAAGATGTTTTCGCGTGGTCCTACGAAGACATGCCTGGGATCGATCCTGAGATTGTACAGCACCGGATCCCCCTTGACCCCGAGGCCTGACCTGTGAAGCAAAAACTCAGAAGGATCCGCCCCGACTGGGCTCTCAAGATTAAAGAAGAGGTCACCAAGCAGATCGACGCAGGCTTCCTGCAGGTATCCGAATACCCGACTTGGTTGGCCAACATCGTTCCAGTGCCGAAGAAGGATGGCAGGATCCGAGTATGCGTGGATTTCAGGGATTTGAACAGAGCTAGTCCGAAGGACGACTTTCCCTTACCGCATATTGATGAGTTGGTGGATTTCACGGCAGGGCATGCCCTACTTTCATTCATGGATGGCTTCTCAGGGTACAATCAGATAGTGATGGCACCAGAAGACAGAGAAAAGACTGCATTCACCACCCCGTGGGGAACATACTGCTGCCGGGTAATGCCGTTTGGGTTGAAGAACGCCGGAGCTACGTATCAACGGGCTGCGACCACCATATTGCACGACATGATCCACAAAGAGGTTGAGGTGTACGTGGACGACATGATTGTCAAGTCCAAGGAAAGAGAGGGCCACTACACTGCCTTGCAAAAGTTTTTTCAAAGGATCAGAGAATTTAGGTTGCGGCTGAATCCTCAGAAATGTACTTTCGGCGTCACAGCGGGAAAAATGCTGGGGTTTCTGATTACACAGAGAGGCATCGAGGTCGACCCTTCAAAGATTAAGGCCATCTTAGAAATGCCACCACCAAGGACTGAAAAGGAGGTGCGAGGCTTTCTGGGTAAAGTGCAATTCATAAGACGGTTTATCTCAAAATTAACCTTGACTTGTGAACCACTTTTTGGTCTACTGAAGAAAGGCAAGAAGTTCCAGTGGGACGACCGATGTCAAGCAGCTTTCGAACAGATCAAAGAATATTTGCAGAACCCGCCCGTGTTGTCACCGCCAGAACCGGGGAAGCCGTTGATATTGTACCTTTCGGTAACTGAGACTACAATGGGCTGCATGCTCGCGCAAGAATCAGAAGATAAGGTGGAAAGGGCCATCTACTATTTGAGCAAAAAGATGTTGGATTATGAGACCCGCTACACTCCGCTCGAGAAGGCTTGCTTAGCTATGGTATGGGCTACCAGGAAGCTGCGGCACTACTTGTTAGGTCACTCCGTAATGTTGGTTTCACGATTGGATCCCATCAAGTACCTTTTTGAGAAACCGACACTTACGGGTAGGCTAGCTCGTTGGCTACTGTTGCTCTCCAAATTTGATCTGAAATATGTGACACGCAAGTCAGTTAAAGGAAGAGCAGTGGCAGAGTTCTTGGCCGACCATCCAGTGGAAGGAGGTGAAGCAGTCGAGTATTCATTCCCAGATGAAGCCATTTTGCATATCGATGACGAATATTGGACGATGTACTTTGACGGAGCGTCAAATCAATACGGGTATGGGATAGGAGTGTTGCTGATAGCACCCGACAATTCCCGTATCCCTCTAGCCTTCAAACTCCGGTTCAAAGTCTCGAACAACGAAGTTGAATATGAGGCGTGCATTGCCGGCCTAGAAGCGGCCTTGGAACTAGGGGCAAGACGGTTGGACGTCATTGGGGATTCAAACCTGGTTGTATCTCAAGCAAACAGAGACTGGAAAGTCAAAGAAGAAAAGATGATGATGTACCACCAGACCTTGGATTTGCTAATCCCTCGGTTTGAGAAACTAAACTTCGCTCATCTTCCAAGAGAGAACAACAGGTTCGCAGATTCTTTAGCAACTCTATCTTCCATGATAGACATCCCATTTGGAATCCGGATGCGTCCAGTCGTCATTGACCAGAAATTTGCGCCAGCCTATGAGTCGATCGCTGCTATAGATGAGGTTCAGGACGAAAACCCCTGGTATTAAGACATTTGTTTACATATCATTTCGGAAGTATATCCGCTAGGATTTGGATGAGCTTAATGAGAATCAAATGACTGTGGTTTCTAAGTACTTCTCTGTGCCCTTAATTTATTGCTAATGTATAGAGTAGTGGGTTAGGTTTAGTGTGTAGTGGATGGTGATAGTGGTGTAGTGGGTTAGGTTTAGTGGAGTAGGTGAGGTGGTAGTGGTGGTAGGTGATGGTACTAAATTCTAACAATTTTCATGTCTATAATACATATACATTTACTTCTTGCTGTGTCTATGTCTTGATCTTTTGAAAATTGCTATGTTGACATGTCCATATCATGTTGCATTTGTGTCTCGTCTCCACATCTGTGCTTCTTGGATGAAAAAAGACCAATCAATGTCATGTCACTATAACTTTGCATTGAATGCACTGATGTTGCTAGTACGTCACCGACTGGTGTTGCATATTCAACCAATACCCTCATGTCCGCAATCAATAGGTAGCACGTTTCTACAAGAGTATAAAACCTGTGCATGGCCTTGTTTATTTGCAAGATACAAGGGGGGAAAGCGGGTTGACAGGATTTTATATACGGTGGAGCCCACATGTTTTTTCATGGCCCCTATTCCCTTTTGCTTGCACAATTTGCTCTCAATATAAAGGGTACACTTATTTATATCCTCTAAAAGGGCAGAAAATGTAATACCACCTCCCATAGTATTACATATCCCCTACCATAGGATATAGAACTATCCTCCATCCAACACTAAAAAACGATGACTTTCCTCTTATCCCATGCTATATCTTACCTTATCCAAACACGGTACAAGAAGGGCCATAGTAAATGCCTAACCCTTATCCTCAGTATTAAGTTTCATAATGTGAAGACTTAAGACCAACTATAAGCTGAGGTAAACTGGGAAGCATATTAAAGTACAATCAGCAATACAGGAATGATTGCATTGTCAATTGAACACCAAAAACAGCCAAAAATAGATGTTCATGTATCCTTTTAGACTACCAAAAACAAAGGATTGAAGAAGATAGCATTGTTAATTGAACAACATCAATAATAAAAGAGATAATATTTACTGACCTTCTCTACCCAAGAATCTTTATAATCCACAATAAACGGATTCCTCATTTTGGAAATAAGCTCCATCTGCATAATGCAGGAACAAAACATATCATTGTATAGTAATCTGGCAATGTTATCTGTCCAAGATAAATACTACAGCAAGGGTTTAGTACATAGCAAAATCAGCTAAAAAGTATAAATGTACACATGCTAACGTGCCAAGCATGCACAGATGTGTGTGCATTATTAAAATGCACTTCATTCAATATTTAATTAGGTCTCCAACCATAATTCACGTTTCTATATATTTTTGTAGGAACACTAAAAGTATTTCCAATGTTTATAGGTTGGTGGTTTCAGCTCCCTGTTTTACAGTATATTCAACTTGCCATTAAAATTTTATAGCACACATTTTATCAAAGTGCATTTTAATTTTTGATAAATTGAACCTAATGAATTTGGCAAGTGTTCTTTGAAAGAGCCATAAACAAAACTTGCCTTGATCTAAACAAAATCAGAAGAAGAAGATATTAATAGCAAAGCTTTCATTTCACTTTATTTTTTGTTTCTTTTTTTGACAAATCATTTTCTAGAACAATTTCGTTTTACAAAAATGGAAATAGTACAAAGAATACCAACCTCTTGGTGTGCAGATCTACGGCTCCTATCAGTTTGGCGGGCAAGACGAATCTTTTTTAACACATACCTTAATATTTGGAAAAAGTGGAAATGGTGAAACCAATTAATTACCCAATGAAAATTAAAAAAAAAAAAAAAAAAAAAAAACATCAAACATTAAAAATCTTAAACATCAAACATTAATAATCTTTCTCATCATTGATTAATGCATACATATATATGCCATGTAAACAAGAAAAGGAAATGAAAAGGGTAGAGAAAAGGTAATGAAGAGTATGTAGTTTTGATGCTCACTTCTTCTTTTCAAGCTTATGCCTCACGAGAAGGGCAGAGCCAAAAGACCCCTTCCCAATTTGCTCTAAAATTTCATACTGCTCCATTTAGCTACTGATTGGTCTCCTTTTACAGGCAAGACCCAAAACTCTTCAGTCCTATCACATATTTTCAACAACCATAAGTTATAACAAAAACCAGCAAACTTATCCATACATAAGAAGAATTTGACAATGCCAACAAAGGAAAGCAACATAATTTATAGACAAACTAAAGGAAGTGCAAGAAGATAAAAGTGTGCTACTTAACAGAGAACATGATATAACTAGTACAGACCCTTGAAAGCCAAGACATAGCCAAAGACAACCCAAAAGTTTGTAACAAACACCAAAAGTTTCTGACTATCTAAGCAAATGCTTCTCAAAATTTAGGCTTTTAAATATTTGTATACATGTCACATTGCTTAAATATAAGCATTTTGGTACAACCAAACAAAAAAATTAGACGAAGCTTACTCAATCTGAATACAAGAATGCAAAGATCAGAGGGCACTAACAACCCTAGATTTCAAATAAAGTACGATTTTTTATTTTTTTTTCAAATAATGCCTAAATGTTAAAAAGTAATTACAGTAAAAATTCAAGAAGCAAGTGTAGAAGCAAAAATTTATCAAAGAAGCGGTTACTGGCCACAAATTTCAGATCAAAAAAATCAAAAGGATCAGAGAGAGAGAGAGAGAGAGAGAGAGAGAGAGAATGTATTATAAATGTTACTTAGTATTTGAAAAATCAAGAAACTAAGCTCGAATCACTTGACTGAAAGAAAATCTGAAAATAGCAAATGACGAAATCCAAACTGCACTACGATTCCCAAAAACTTGAGTAGTAGTAAACAGAGAGAGTAGCATCTGAAAAGAGAGTGGAGGGAAGAGGAAGGTTCACTCACATTCAACAGATTCGTAGAAAGAAAAGAAGAGAAAGTTGAAATGAAAAGAAAAGGTAGAGAAAAGAAAGCGATAGAGAAAAATCAACCTGGAATGTGGAACAGTGTCGAAGAAGATAAGATCACGAGATGCGTTGAAGAGAGAGAAAGCTAAAGCCCGAGTTTGACATTTGCGCAGAAGCAACCACACTGTTCGGTTCCAGAGGTACAAGACGAACCATCTCCTCCACCATTGCTGTATTTTAGAGAGAGGGAGAGAGAGAAACAATAATATATTATTACATATTTATATCTATATAGCTATACAGAAGCAGACAAATTTAGAGGGAGATTAGAATATAAGATGAGGTTAGAAGAGTTAAAAAACTTGTCATTAAGATCCTAAACAATGAGGTTTTTAATTTTATTCTAATGTTGTTGTGGATCTTTATGCAAAGGAGAGAGAGAGAGAGAGAGCAGTGGGCTAGTGTCAGAGCAAAATTTGGCAGCTTTCTTCTTAATTTATATTTGAATAATACAATAAAAAAAATTTTGGATTTTTATAATAATTAAATTATGAATTTTTTATTTTATTAATTGAAACTCTAATCTTCTAAATTGGTCACGTTACAATCACTCATTCAATTCTATCACTTGGATGTCATTGGGGTCTGGGGTCACCCCAGCGAGGAGGGTATGATGCATTTCTCATTTAATAAAATAATAAGAAAAAATAAATTAGAATCAAAACATCATATCACTTCACAATAAATAAGCTTCACTATAAGCTTATTAGAACTGATTTTAAAATTCAAAAATTAAAGTTTTATGTTGTGTTTGGTTAAGAGATTTAGAGAGTGATTTAGAAAGAGAAAAGAAAAAAATATGTGAAATTATGTGAAATATAGATATGTTTTATTCAAATTTTACGTATTTTTTTCAATTCTCTTTTTAAATTTCTTTCTAAATTTCTTAATCAAACACAGCAAGTATTTTTCTAATAAAAATAGAAATGTAATGTAACGGGGGGAGGGGAGGATTTGGGTCAAAACCGACCAAAAGGAAGACAGGGTGGGCCTCAACCCCACACCCCTCAACTGTTTAATCACGAGGCTATTCACCCGGTCCTTTACTTTTCCATGACGTGTGTTTGCCGTTTTAACGAAAGAGATACATTAGTCATTTTCGCAATGGCTGGAAAACAATTTGGACGAGTTATATCCGAAGGTTCTATATTTTATTTTTTTGTGTTCTTTTAGTTTTTATATTTTTATTTGATTTAATAGTGTGTTAATTTGATATAATTGATAATATTGTTAGTATTTTTTAAAAAAGTTATCACTAAATTAGTTAAGATTAATTTACTGAGTTTTATAATTTTATCTTTAAAAATATGACGCATAACTCTTATGTACTTATTTTCTATAACAAAAAGTTAAGAGATGGAATCAATTTGACCAAATTAAGACAAAAGAATAAATTTATGATCAAAATCAAATCAATTGAAATTACAAAAACTAAAATAACATAAGAATTAAAATATAGGAACTACCGTCGTAATTCACCTAAAAAAAATTATAAATTAGTTCCAACAGATTAAATTAATGTTTGGAATTTACTTATTTGATATTTTGTTTCGTCTTTAATTAAAAAAAAAATTAACTTATAGAGTCAACTCAACGAGGCGAACATAAAATTTTAAAAATAATCAAAAAATCAAAAAAAAATCAAAAATAAACAAAAAGCAAAAAATAGTGAACTTTGTTTTTTTGCTTCTTCTGGCCTTTTTTTAAAAAATAAAAATGTTTAAAACCCACCGAAAAAACCTTCCACAATTTGACCGCAATGATGTGGCATGATAACTGTTAATAATTGATTTGTCACGCACTCAATTGTGTAGGACATATCTCCCTTGCCATGTCATTGTGAATAAATTTAGGGGTCTAACTTGTGGGTTTCTAGCATTTCTCTTTCAATAATTATTTTTTAGATTCATTTATACAAGACGGATCAAAAAAAAAACTTGACATAATTTAGAAGAAAAAAAATTACTAAAGACAAAAAAATTAGAAAAATATGTGACTTTTTATGACTTTCAAACCGCTCCTAAATTGTACGTTTTTATTAGTTTTCAGATATTATTTAAAATAAGTGAATTGTATTTTAAAATTCGGCCTATAATTTTATAGTTATAGACCGTATATATCTAGTTTGTTATTTATCGTATATTCAAGTATCTTTTTAGTATCTTATATATATTTATAAATTTTTGACCTTTTTCTCTTGTTAGTGTGCTATTGTATAATGATAGAACTGGTTTTAAATAATTATTATTGGTAAAATGATGACATTATTTGATATTTGAGTATATTTTGATTATATTATAAAAGATGACAGGATTTATAAAAAAACCGTGAGTTCAAACCAAATTAAACCTCATTTTCTTGGTACAATTTGATTTGGTTCCAATATTTTTATGATTCAATTTGTTTCCTAATTTCATAGAACCGTAAGTACTAATTTGGTCTTGATTTATTTTAAAATCGAATCATGTTAACCCTCAATTTTCATGGCTAACAAAATAAAGGAAAAAATTACAATAAAAAAAATTTTGGATTTTTATAATAATTAAATTATGAATTTTTTATTTTATTAATTGAAACTCTAATCTTCTAAATTGGTCACGTTACAATCACTCATTCAATTCTATTAATTAGACTAACAAGAAAAAGAAGAAGAAAAAAAAACTAATTTTGTCAATTTAATACACTTCTTCCATTTACACACTACATATAGACACATATTATGTGTATATACATATTTTGTAACTACCATATTCTCCACCATCACTACCGTTTATTCACTTGCACCACCACCACCACCCCCACCCCACCCCACCATACCATAGCCTCCTTTCCAGCATCATCCCGCGACGCCCCACCCTAACCCCAATTTCCTTTCCCTTAACATTCATCATTCCACCACTTCTAACACCATTTTGCCACCCCCAACTTTTATTTCCCCACCATATGCAAATCTCTCACCACCATTCTACTACTTCCAAATCAAAATAAAAATCCAAAAAACACGACACAATACAAAGGTGAGGAAGGAGATTGTCAATTTTGTTGCCAATTTCAAATCCTTCGATATTGCTACTTCCACCATCTCTAAAGTTTTGGATTTTAAATGGCGATTGTTGAAAAGGGGACGTTTGGGAAGGGACACTAGAGCGGGAGTTCTAGTAAAAGGGGTAGGGTTTGAAGTCAACAATGGATAATGAATAAGATGTTTCGAAACTGTTTTTGATAAAGAGTATACATTTTTTGTTCAGCTATCGTTTCTAAGAATTGGTTTTATGAACTTTGTTCAGAATTCTAGTACCGAACAAATTACATTTATTTTCTTAGGTTCCAGTGCCAAACAAGGAAATTCTCCGATGTTATAACTCTTAGCAAATTACATATGTGCGACGGTAGTGGCCAACGAGGTCCGACAGTCATGGGCTACGATAGTAGGCGACAATGTGTAACTATAACGGTTCCGGTTTAGACCTGACTCATCTCTTGCTTTTGAATTCGAGAATCCATATTCTTAACTGTTGTTCATCTCATTTTCATCTTGTTACTAGTTGAGTTTGGTTATTTGGGAGTTATGATTGCGTTGAAACAGGTTTGGTAGTTAGTTTTTCAAAGAGTTGTTGCCCAAATTTTTGCATGTTCGCTTGAGCAGTCTTTCTTGTTCTTGAGCGGTCTTTTACAGTCTACAAAACTATTGAGAGTGTGGTATCTTTGCTCGAGCGATATTTCTTGTGTTCGAGTGGTCTTTTGCAGGTTTGAACTTCTAGGAGGGGGTTATTATGCTCTCGAGCGGTGTTTTTGGTCGCTCAAGCAATGTCACTTATTGTGTCTGACGCTCAAGCGATATTTTGGTTGCTCAAGCGATTTGCGCATATATCAGTTCGAGAGAAGGCCATTTTGAGTCACTTTTTCATCTCTTTCTCTCTCTAAACATTTCAAAACCCAAAATCTTCACTCTCTCTCTCTCTCTCTCTCTAGTTCTTATACTTTAGCTCCAAATACTCACAATCCATTGGTTTTCTTACTGTAGCTCTTTGGAGAAAAAGGTTGAGCGCCCCAAGGGCTTCGTTCTAATTGGAGAGGTTGTTGTTTTCGGCTCCGCCAAGCTTCTACCTTTTTCTCTCTATTTTCTTCTACTTGAGATAGGGATTTCTTCAACCTTTAATATGGTTCTTAGCTTAGTTATTTGCTATTTGAAAAGAATTAGTGATTTAGGGGTTTTTGGTTGAACCTAGGGTTTGGTTTTGGAAAGTAAAAGAGGAGTTTTTTAAATAAATACTTGAGAATGTTAGGGAAGGGTGTAAATTGTTGGGTTGTGTTGAAATTTTGGAAACTTATTCTTTAAATGAGATTTTAAAGAATAAAGGAGATTTTGTTGGAAAATCATTGATATTGGGTTTATAGAAGTAAAGGAAAAGTTGTTGGGCTTTGAAAAGATATGGAGAATGTATCTGTTGATGATGAGAGTGGAGTCAGATATTTATTATCGCTTCCATTTTGAAATTTATGAGATTTTTTTTATTGTTGAAAAATTATCTATTGAGTAGAAATATCTATTTTGGACTATCGGTGGAGAATAGTCTTAATTGTTGTAGAAATTGCATGAGGATTAAGTTAAAATTGAAACCAACTTCTCATATATTGAGCATCAAGTATCATTTTAGACTTGAACATTGAAAATGTATTTGTTTTTGAGAAAAATGAGTGTATACCTTGGTGAATCTAGTTAAGGGGTGTGGTTGTGGTTTATATTATTGGCCTGTGTGTCCTTGGTGAAAGTCCAAAAACCCAGGCGACTAGGTGTCAATCTTTCCGGTTAGTACCAATAAAATAGTCTTGGTAATGCTTGTATAGCCTACTGGCAGACCTGTACCTAGAGATTCTCAGTGTTTTGTATCCACTGCCCTGTCAGTGTTTTGTATCCACTGCCATGTCAGTGTTTTGTATCCACTACTCTATGTTCTATTTTAAAAGAATTATTTTCATGAATTGATTCATAATCGGGCATTGCATAGTTTTGAGATGGAAAATGAGGAATGTTTGACAAATGGCATGCATGTGCATTCACCTTATGACTTTATTAAGATTCATATTTTGTGTTAAAGTATCTCTACTGGGTTTTGGCTCACCTATGTAGAAAACAAATTTCAGGTGCTGATGATATGTCTCCACTAAAGATGTAGCTTGTGAGGACTTGGAGCCAAAAGCTTCATTTTGTTTATTTGATGTCATTATTTTTGTTTAAGTCTCGTACTTTAATCGTATTAAGTTAAATTCATTTTGTTGTACCCAAACATTAACTTGAAAAGATGTAGCCATTAGGGCATATCAGTATTTGGTTTTATTTTTATTTTAATTCATGTATCCCTACTATATGCTATAGATTCAGAATCTAGGATTTA